AATTCTGGAAAATTAGCGAATCTCAAACATTTCCCCTTATTTTGAATTTAATACCAATTTGATTCCTGTCTATATACTCAATAAGATTGACATGATTACTCATTTTTACATGAAAAATTTTTGTTTTCCTTACACTAATCCTATTAATTGGGCGATAAACAACATAGTTTCATTTTTAACGAAAGTTTAAGTTTCATTCTTATTGAATTGTAGATATGCTTCGTTATCTGTTTTGTGCTTAAAAGTAGAGTTCAATTTTTATTTCTAACCACTACAAACTGTTACACCTCCAAGAAGAAGGAAAGGAATTCTGAAGGACTCGTGTATTTTTTGTAAAAAATATCGATTTTCGCTCACTTTCAAAACCACCAATGATCTTTCCCGAAAGAAACAGAGAAAAAAAGAAGAGCTTTCAACTCCGTGATATCGCATACACTTTATCTATTTACTCTTGAAACGCGCTTTCACTTTTTGGGTTTTACACAATTACGTACATATATTTTCTTGTCTCAGCCCTTGGTAAGAAATATCTTGCGTAGTTTTTATTCGTCAATATTTTGGTGTAGCATTAATGGGAACTACAACGTCTCCTTTTTGATATGTCATGTATACCTACCTACCTATATCAATTTTTTTATCTTACTAAGGGGATATTGAATTCCTATTTTGCTGTCCCGTCTACTTTAAAAAACACTGGATGAAAATTCAAACTATTTTCTAATTGTTTATTTTGTTGTTTTTTGTTTTTTACATTTACTGTTCTTGTTAATCCCCAAGGTTAGGGTTATCCTATAATTATGTGTACAGATTTCTAATGCATTTTGTGACCTTTAAAAGAAATTCCTTCTGAAGATCCCATAGAATTAATTAATTTGTGTACGAATAATTACATTAATTTATTCATTTAATTATTTTCGTCCCCTCCCTATAAGTAGGAGTCTAATAGCGCCCCCGACTTCGTGTGTGTTTCCCGGAAAATGCATTTTCGTTCCAGTCGTCGACTTTCCAATTTTAATAGTTGGTTATTTGCGGTTGTACGATTGAAATGAACTTTTACAGTACAGAAGCGCAATAATATGGCCTACGTACCTGGAGGCACATGTAGCCAGGGTTGTAGACGTGATCGCAGCTACAGTGGCACGTTGCCGCCCTTTGCTGGCTACCCATCAGTTCGAATATTTGCTCTGGATCGCAGTCGGCCTCGGCGGCGTCCATTCCATCTCCTTGTTTCCGCTTCCGCCTTTCGCTGTTATTACCGTTCGCCCTGAAATACGATCGTTCCCGTTAAAACACACGCATACAATCGAGGAGTCGCGATGAGATATCGATAGCACTTCATAAAATCGAAATAACTGCGTGCCTGCGAATCCTGATTTAGATATGGCGAAAGAAATAAAAAGGATCGCCTATCTCGATATTAAATGCGTATAGATTTTCCGATTTAAAAGAAGAATATCGGTAATTGTTATGTTTTTGCCTATTTCTCTTTTTCATTTTTTTTTTCAACGTGTAAAAGCTGTAGATGAAAATTTCCTCCACTTTGTTTCCAAAATACCAGCCAAAACAGTATATCTTTCTTATCTTTTAAAAACAATTCCGATTGCTAAAAACAAAGTGTAATCCAACGTGGTTTATTCGCGATAATCCACCAGCGCATTTTGGTGTCACTGGTAGTGCTTTTTAACAGGAACATAATATGGACATAGCCCGGATATAAACCCTCTGAATTATTTTACTGAACTAGAAAATTGGAAGATTTGAATTTAAGAAATCGGCTACTTACTGCATAATGTAATTCAATAAAAAACAACCCTGCTGCTATCATTGAAAGAGTTCGGAGGTCAATGAGGACAATATTGGAAAGATGCTTTCTATAGTTAGCCCCCAGTTGGGGGTAGTTATTTTCAACAGTTTTTACAGATTAAAAAGCTTTATATGTGATATTTAGATTGGATAATAAAACGTTGTTATTGTTGAAGTTACAATGTGTTTCTGAAACCTTTAAAAGTGACTGTCTTTGTCGATTCTGATTATAATTAAATCTGAAACGTTTATAAGTGACTGTCTTTGTCGGTAGGTAGTGATTATAATTAAATTAACTTTAAATCCATGCTTGACATTTACGCACAGAGAAACTTCGCAAAGGTCACCCGTAGGGAATATCCGCATACTTATTATACTTAATAGTAAATGAGAAGAGAAAGGGCACGTTCTCGCCTTCTATACAATATTCAACAGGTGACGACCACGTCATCGTGTACATTGTACATGTGTGAATGAGTGTAAATAGGTGGGTGGTTAGAACAAGTTGATTGTGTATGCTAACCTGGTGCTGCTGTCGCTTGTTCTCGTCATGACCTTGTGGCCACCGGGGCCCGCGTGTCCCCCAACCACCCTTCGGAAGCCGTACTCATCGGTCCCCAGCAAATCCTTGTCAAAGTCGGTCGAAGCACTCACCGAACAATTCTCCTCACGATAACTGTCGTATAAAAGGGCATTATGACCCAAGTGGGTGTTAATAATTTCGGGTGTGTGTTGCATTCTTCGGAGGGACGCATTCCTTTGGAATTTCGCCCCGGATATTGCCGGAGGGTCACACCCTCTAGCCGTCACCGCTGTTGCTTGTTGCTTTCCCGAATCGACGAAACCTGCACGTCTTGAGAAGAGAAATTGACAATGTAAAAATATGCGACAAGCAAATAAACAATTTATAATATTATAATTCATTTACTTTCTCTAGCGATTTGTCCCTTCCAATGTCTTGGATTGTAGAGAGAAAAAAGCTCAGTATACTCTCGACTCTTGTTCATTAAACATACTTTTTCATACAGTACCTGCCAAAAGTTTTGGTCAATCATGAATAGTAGTGCGAATCGAAAACAAGCGTTAAAGTCTTTAATATGTCTCCAAATATAAATAAACATCTGGTTGATATTTTCAGTAGATATTTACAGTAGTAATTGGTACCAATAGCAGCACATTTGAGCAATGCAATTTTAGTGGATAAAATGGTCAATTTTTCCGTGCAGTACTGTACTCTAAGAGTTTGGCCGAGAGTTGTCTCGTTTCTTTTCTACTTTGCGCCGGCAAACTGAAGGTCACATCGCTACAGAAACTAAACGAAATATACCAACTATTATTTAATGAGTTATAAGAATAAGAGAACGTTAGTTCCTGGGTCCACAGAACTTCATTTGATTTGAATTTTAATGACTTATTGAATTTGATGCAAAAACAATTTTGCTATTACCAGATTAATATTAATTAATCTTCTATATGCATTACATTTGAAATGCACGAATAATTAAAATAAAGTATTAATAATGTTGGCTTACAATTAGTGGTAGACACATTTTTAAATTCATTTTTATGACGTTAACTTTGTATAATTGATATAAATTTGAACATAATTACATAAATAGAAATATCGCATTGTTGTTTACATTGAATTACCTGTGCAAAGGTAATCCATTACGGTAATCAAAAGAATTTCATTATAGCTGGTTTAATTGTTTAACCGACGTATTTATTGCCAAACATGATTTAAATGCAATTTACAATTCAAGGAAAACACTCGCTGAAATTGCACGTGCATTGTTTGTTTAAACAAATTGCATTCGTATTTGTGGTGGTTGTTATCAATAGGACTAATCGGTAATAATGTTGGAACGTAACACAATCCTCTCAACGAACGTTTCTGTGTGGAAAATTAATTTAGGTACATTTTATTTTCTGACTCATTCAACTTTTCATGATTTTCACTTTTAATTCCAATTTGCGAGTTATAGTTTTTATTTTTATCAGTGTGTTAAAAGAGTATATTGTTTTATGCCCTGTTCTCAAAAATGTTTTTGTGCCTATTTTTCGAAATACTCATTACTCACAACAATTAGTCCTGCATAGGAATACAAACCAATTTCTGTGAGCCAAGACTGGTTAATTACAAACAGAAAAGCAAGGGCAAAACTTTAATTGCTTTAATACTTGTCTTTGTCTACTTTCGATCTGGATCAATCTGGATATTGTTCCCTTGTATTTTCTTAGTTTCTTCAACTATCATTTAGACAAGTCAGAAATATAATTTTCTATGATCTTGCGCTTGTAGTGTTTGGGTCATTGTTTTCAAAATTGAAACAGAGAAAAACAAACATTACCTTCTCATTGGCATTTTTACAAAAATCTAAATTTAATAACTTATTTAATTAAATAATTATTTTAAGTCGGTTTACGTTTTGTTAAAGCATACTTGTTACCATTAGGTTTATTTCAGTAAACATCGAATTTAAAGTTTCATCACAATATCCTGTAAACTATAAAATGCGTTGAATTATGTCGTCATCTGTTTTATATACATATCATGTTGAAATTGCGAGCAACAGAGTGGAGGATTCAGAATCCTTTTATGTCACCTCGCGATCCTTAATTTAATGCAGATGAATGATACAAAGTTTCTTGCAGTTGTAGTCACGAGTTTTGAAGACAAAGTCTGATGATACATCGAACTACCAAGTGCTATTATACGAAGTCGTTGGGAAGGAATCGTGAACTAAGGATAATGTAGTATAAGGAGAACTCACCCTCGAAAATGATAATGACACTAAATAGGTAGCAATCTTTTCTTTAAACTTGTGGATAAATCCTTTATTCAAATTATTTTATTGGAAGTAACAACGTTTAGAATAGAGACCAATCTTTGATTGTTTCGGTGTTCTGAGTGTAAATTGTCGTCAAACTTTGAAGCTTATACTTATGTTTTTCTTAACAAGTTATTGTAGTAACTAGCCAGAATTATTGAGTTGTATATTTTCGATGCTTAGAGGTAAAATAATATAGGTTAGAAAAGGCATTATAATAGGGACAATTTGGAAATTCCAACAGGATTTTTAAATGTGTATTATGCTTGGAGCACGTCTCTACAAATGCAAAACGAAAACGTGCAGAAAAGGAAAAGTTAGAAGCGTTTATGATGTGATGTTGCAGAAGGATGATTAGTTTTGGTATTGGCCTTGGTCTTGCTTATTCACGATTGGTCTTGATGAAATACTTCTTGTCTTGGTTTTGGTCTTGTTGACATAGTTTTGGTCTTGGTATTAGCCTTGCGTGTTAGATTGGCCACAGATGTTTCTTTTTTTTATGAAAACTCGAGAATTTACTCTTCCTCGAATATAAATTGACTCTTTCTCCAAAGCATAAATTGAAAATTAGCAAAAAATAACAAGTACAAAATACCCAAAGAAATATAAATATCGAAAAACATTAGTTTGTCTCTATATTTCAACCGTACGTTATCCAAAGGAACAAAGAACACCTACTCCGAGGAAATTTTTGTAAATCCCTTTTTCCAAACAGTGGTAAAGTTTCTTTTTATATATTTACAAAAAACGTTTTGTTCCAAGAAAAGAACATATGTGAAGGTTGCTTCAAATAGTTTTACTCATAAATCCACTGGAAGTAACAAATTTTCATTTAGTCTTACTTATTTGGACTTGGTCTTGCATATTCGGTCTTAGTTTTAGTTTCAGTCTTGGTTTTGCTCGTTCAGTCTATTACGTGTACAATTTGCATACTTTAAATATATTTTATCGTTGTTGGTGAAACGGTAAACATTAAAAAAGCATTTAATTTATAGAAAAACGGAAGTACCCTTTAGATATTTAAACTCTAAACAGCAATTTACGTAAAGTTTCCTTAACTGTTTAAAGTTTCTTTTCAAGTCTTCTTTCTTTGCGTTTTATAGTTTCCCACTTACAATTAATTTATTTTAAAGTGGAAAGTTTTAATTTCGGATAAGAGCGCGACATCCTGCCGGAAAAATCAACATTCCCATTGCGGCTTTTCCGTCGACTATAGTACGAGAGAATTACCTTAAAATGTTTAGCTTTAATTATTTTACTTACCTCTCGATGTTATATTGCAAAGCTTTTCGCCCTTCGATCTCGGTTCTCGGCGTGGAACAACAAGACCTGTTAATTCCGTATTCAGCTCTTATGTATTGGGGTGGATCCATGAAGAATTGACTGTTACGACACAGAAGTTCGATTTCTTGTTCATGACTCAATTTCAGTGCCCTGTAAAGATAGAAAAACACTCATGTTCTCGATTACTTAATCCATTTTGAACCAAATAAGGGAAGGTTTAAAACGAATGTTGAAGGAGACAACCACCGTACTAAGTATATAAGTAGCTTTCGAAGATAAGTAACTTTTGTTATTTATATCGGAATAACAAATAATTAGGGACTTCATTTTTTCCATTTGCTTTACTTGCTTTAGATTTTTATTCCGGAAAATTATGAAACAATAAAAAGGAGACAATTTTATCGCACATTTTTGATAATAAGTAAAACTACATACTAAACAAATGTTGAGAAATTTGTATATCTAATCTAGGATTACCTCTACCCCTCCCGTTTCTGCCTCTAATATGTCTCTGACTAGACCTTCATGCCAGAGAAGGTGTCCTACCAACCTATCTCGCCTATTGCTTATTGACTTCCATAGGGTTCCCTGTTCTCCTATGCTTCTAACCTTTTCTTTTCCGCAGCGCCCACCGTTTATGTTTCGCACCCGTGCAGCGCCGCGCTCCAAACATATACCCTCAACAATCTTTTTCGAATTTCTAAATTAACCGTACGCGAGCATAGAAGTGACTTTTTTTATTGATGCCGACTCGAATATGGGTTCACATGTTTTATTCATTACTTTCAGTAAGTATATTCGTTTGAAAATGCATTCGAACTTTTCTAACTCGAACGTTTATAATTCTAAATACTTCATGGTTTTACATTTATTCTAAACTTTTTAATTTTCTATTTCTGTGTACTAACCTGTGCAGGTCAGTTGTTGAAAAATGTTGCCGACTATCAAAACTGTCGCCAATAAGCATCTCTTCGCTACTTTTAACATTGCAATGTTGCTTTCTGAACGATGTTTGTCTGTGCAGTGTAATAGCTTCTCTCCCTGTCGAGGAGAACGAGTCACTAGGACGTTGGAAACCCATGAAGTCGTTGTCTGCTGCCGTCAGGTTTGTTTGGATGTATTTAGACGACTTCATGATTCCTTATAACTAAAACAAACGAAAACGAAAAACTACATTTAGTGCATTCTTTCTTCAAAAGAAACATATGAAAGTGTACTTAGAATCACAAAGTTTATTTTCATTTTTCTAAACTAAAGTGACATACTATTTATTTCTAAATATTTTGATATTACTGATATAACTGCAGTGCTTGAAGATATTGTCATTAATTTTACTGGATTAACGATAATTAAGTAACAGTTCCATATTTTGCTATTAAATTACAATACGAAATGTCAATCCTGAATTCGATACGTTGCACAACCCCAATGTTTACATATCAAGAGAAGAGATCTCTACACATTAATAACGATAAAGCACAGTTGATTGCGAGTGTATCGCACGGATATCAAGCTAAACTTGCAGTTATTGTCGTGGCTATTACCATGAAAATATACGTCTGATTATTACAATTACAATCGTTATATTAGCTAGATAGCTTTAAATAGAATGAAAGCGGTATTGATAGTAATAAAACAGTATTCTATGAAAATAAATAAAAGTAAAACAAAAATACTGGCATGCAAAGAAAAAGTAGGGAAAGAGCGAATATAAAAATAGTAGACGAAAGAAAAGTAGGAGAAGTGGCTGATTTTAGGTATCTAGGAAGTCATACAAGTCAGGACGGAAGAAGTAGTAGGAATATAAAGTAAAGGACAACACAGCGTCGAGTTGCCTTTAATAAAAAGAAGTCACTTCTATACTCGCGAACTATTAATTTAGAAATTCGAAAAAGATTGTTAAAGGTGTATGTTTGGAGCGCGGTGCTGTACGGGTGTGAAACATGGAAGGTGGGCTGGGCGGAAAAGAAATGGGTAGAAGCGTTCGAAATTGGTGTTACCAGCGAATGATAAGGATACCGTGGAAAGAGAAGGCTAGAAATGAAGAGATATTAGAAAAAATAGGAGAACAGAGGACTCTATGGAAGCCAATAAATAATAGGCGAGATAGGTTGGTAGGATACCTTCTCAGGCATGAAGGTCTAGTCATATTAGAGACAGAAACATGAGTTAAGAGGAGTAGAGGTAGACTAGATTAGATTAGTGTTAGCAAATAGTTATGGATGTTGGATGTTCTAATTTTAGGGAAATTTAGCTCAGGATAGGAAGAAGTAGGAGTGCGTGTCCAACCAGTCTTAGGACTGACGACCTTATGATGAAGATGATCATGTCACCCTGTAGAATTACTTTAATGTTCTTGGCCAACTAGTGATGAGTAAAATAAAGCCGAGACCAAAACTGATCTAATCTTATCATAAATAAGTTAATTTTTCTTTTAGATTTTATATTTCTCGCAAGTACAACATTTCTACAATGGTCAATTTAATGTTTTTGAATTACCAACAATATCGATTTTGTGTTTAGAAATGTTGGTCGTATCGTGTTTAAATCTCAAACTTTCTGTATTGGCATTAACCGAGTGTTTTTAAAAGTTCCACTAGAAGTTCCAGCCTTAGTTTGCTGAGTATTAATAGATTCTTAGAACGGTCAATTCCCTAAAGGAAAATGACTTTTAAAAACTTTTCCTACTAAAGATCGGTATTGAGATCGCGCGTCAAATGCAACTGCACATCGTAAACTAAAAGTGGCTTCGAGGTCTCCTTGCAGTATTAAGTTGTGTGAAATTGTAATTTGCATTTTCCGGTTGGTTTCGAGTCAGCGCATCGGGGACTTCTCCAGATAATTACTCAACGACTCCGACAACTTGACTTACTCGGGGACCGAGATGAATATCTAGTTAGTTTACGGGAAGTGGTTACAGGAAAAAATAAAAGAAGAAATGACATCGTCAACCCGTGACCCGATTTTAACCTACATTGTACATATTTTTGAATATGCTAGGGTAAAGTGGAGTTGATAAAAAACCAACTTGTGAGTTTATAATTAACTAGTATAGCCCGTCCAAATTTAAAGGGATGATGGTACGATAAAATTAATGATACTGACATATGTCTTCTCGTATGTCTTTTACTAAAATAATTTATATAATTAAGAATTATTTGCATTTATTATTACCATCTGTAGCATCAGTTGTTAGAAGTTTTCTAAGAAAATTCCNCGTGCTCGCTGCATTATGTATAGTTGTTTCGCCTAGCCCCTCTCTTCCCCGTAAAAAATTATCATGTATTAAAATAGCCTCAATAATTCGTGTTTCTTCACTTTTTGTTTTCGTACCCTTACTTTGGGGAGAAACTTTTGATAATGACCCTTCCCCTTTCTCCAAAAGCGTTATCAGGCTAAACCAATCTCAAGAAATGTAATATATATGGTAGTAAAAATTAGAAATAATGTTTTTATTACCATCTGTAGCATCAGTTGTTAGAAGTTTTCTAAGAAAATTCCAAGAAGACATAAAAATAGATTGGCAATACGAAACGATGTGCACTTTTTTGTTATGTAAAAGCCTCGATGTTTTGTGCTTACCTTGACGGACGAAGGTATATATGAGCCCTTTTTATAAACGAACCTTTCGTGGTTCAAATAGATCTTTTGAGCTGTCAAACTGGGGAAATGGCAAGCATATGAGAGGCGTTTTCCTTCACAAAAGGGGACTATCCCCATTAGAGCATCGAGTTGGCAACAATGCTCGTTCATACTACAATAGTTATTATTAAGAAAAGGAAAAATCAGACGCGTTATATAGAGGTAACGTTTGAAGCCCTTTTTTTAGAAAATGGGGTTGATTTAAAAGTAAATGGAATGAAAAAATATTTTACTCTTTGAGGTTTTGTACAAGATTTTGATTTAAATGTAAAACTACGAGGTATTCATAAAAATTCAAAGTTGTACAATTAATTAGAAAAGAAGAATCAGTTCTCAGAATAACTTTACCTAAATTGACCTATTTTTCTTAGAATAAAATCGTAATTTCAACGAAGAAAATGTAGAAACTTTTATGTTTAGAAATATTTTTGGNATGTAAAACTACGAGGTATTCATAAAAATTCAAAGTTGTACAATTAATTAGAAAAGAAGAATCAGTTCTCAGAATAACTTTACCTAAATTGACCTATTTTTCTTAGAATAAAATCGTAATTTCAACGAAGAAAATGTAGAAACTTTTATGTTTAGAAATATTTTTGGGTATATACCTATAGTGTAGAACTAAGTTTAAAGATACACCCCTTGCTAAAATTATTTTCTATTTAGTGGTAAAAGATTATTTGTTTAACAACTGACCTAACTTCTAAGCGGTGATGCTGAATTCCCTCCCGCAGGTAGTTTTGGTTAAAATACAGATGTCGAATTCCCTCCCAGGTACTAGCCGAGTTCCCTCCCAGGTACTAGCCGAATTCCCTCCCGTTCAAATCAGCTCCGATAATAAAGTTAACGACTACTTATAGATTTTATTTATCGAAAATAAATATACATTTATAGTGCACTTCAGTACTTCAGTAAATTAAAGATAAAATAATTTCGGAAAAAAAACATATCAGTTATGAAATGTTTATTTATTTAATTTTAAAATGGTTTCCCACTACCTTAACAAATTCAATGTTTGGAAATTCGTGTGCGTCTAGCTTTTTGATGCAATCATCCAGAAGTTTTAGTTTGTCTTGTATTTGACCAATAGAAGGGTAGTTTGATAAAATTATTATTGTTATTGTGGTGTCTATAATATATGAATAATATTAAGATTAATATGTGATATGAGGCTGTATTATTTAAACAATTCTTTATGACTTTATAGTGGCAATTAGCACTCAAGGTCCGCCGCCCGCCGTTGGGAGGCAATTGATGTATAATTAGGAGGGAATTCGACATACGGAAAATTTTAACCCTCATTAAAAACAGGTATATGGGAGGGAACTAGGCATTATCCCTTCTAAGAAACATCGAATTTTGTAACTGCTACTAGATGTTGTTACGTTCTATACGTAAAGGTTTCTCCAAAAACACTCCATACAAAAAGGTCAACCCCAAGGAAACTTCTTTTAACGGAACTAATAACGTTGAATTAGATTTGCTGGAAATAAACCCAATCTTGTAAAACTCTTCGATCTTAGAATTACATGTCCACGGTAGCTCGTTTGTAACGAATAAGGGATAGGGGGAAGTGGTTATCTTTTATTTTTGCGGCGAATAAAGGCTGAAGTTGTCCGGGACTGTTTTCCCGTCTGATCCATCTCATCAACAGAATCCGTAACATCAATTAATTTAAACAAACAGAAAGCACCTCGTATTTGGTATGAACCAATCTACAGTAACACGCATCGCGGCATCAGATTATACATAAAACACAATATATTTCGTCGACAATGATTTCGTCAACCGGGAAATCCTCATGCAAATTTGAATTGGTCGTAGACCTACCTTTGTGTCACGTCCCATGTCGAAATTGAATCCAATTTTACATTCGGCCCAACTAACTTAATATTCAGCAGTTTTGCATTTAGAGCAGCTGTAAAAATTTAAGCGCAATTTTACGTTATCTGCATTTATTCCTACCGCACACATGCACAGATATGGGGTAGGTATACACGGCGCCATATTATTTTTCAACCGGGAAAACATTTATATAAGGTTCAGTTTTAGTGTTTTTGCATTGGACAGTTTACAAAACTACCTAAATCTAGCATAGAAGTATTTTCGGAATGATGTATGAAGAAATAATGCAGAATACGCCAAGTTTATGGAGGTTTGACAATAAACGAAAATTGTAAAAACGATAAAAAAGTTAAAAACAATCTTGTGCTGGAACAAGATAATAAAAAATTCAATTTTTGAGTCTATTAGTGAATCAATTTTTGAGGAGTTAATGAGGCTACACGGGGGCTAGCTTAGTAGTAGAATAGTAGACAGCAGTAACAATTTTTCCTCAATAATTTGAGATTATTGTAATGTTCGTGGGTTTAACAAATTAACTTTTAAGAAGAAAACTATTTATTTACACTAATTATTATTAGACACTATTAAATTATTAGAAACTTAGGTAATTATTCTGTTTATTTACAGTACTGTCACTATTCACTATGCTATTTATTTCAC